TCAGCAGACAGTCCCAAAGGGCACATCGATCGACCGAATCAAAGGTACCTTTTATATCAAGAAACATGACAACAGTTGATCGACAATAAACATGGCGGTGCTCCAACAATTGACGTAAGGTGAAGATGTGGTCGATGTAGCCCCGACCTCGACGAAACCTGGCTTGCTCTTCACGGACCTGGCTTTCACGACTGCCAGTCAGTCTGTGGAGAGTGACAGACGCAAGCAATTTAGAGATAACTGAGGTCAATCTGACCCCTTTATGATTGCCGCATTCCGAACAGGAGTCGGCCTTGAAAATTGGGACAATGACGGAGCGGCTCCAGTCTGTCGGGACTAGTAAATCGTGTAAATCTTCTACTAAAGCAGGTCCCTCGAACTTGAAGGGGGCTGATGGAATTCTATCTTCCCCTGGGGCTTTACGCAATGACAACAGCATAATCTCACGTTCGACTTTTGCGCGTGATGGCGGATCCAAGGAAACCGCCCAGCGAAAAAAGCGCTCAATGTCCGAAAAAGAAAGCGATAACTCAGCTTGGTTAAATTGTCTTGCAGTGTTCGGCACAACGCTCTAAGCGTTTTGACAGGGTTTGGATCGGCTGTCCACAGTCGTCGCGTATGGTCTCGCTAACACCAGGTCACCTGCTCTCTGTTTCCTGTATCAGAGGGAATAACTTACTATGATTACTAATGGAAGCGGATGTTTCCATCGCCGAAGCACGATGAAACCACCAGGCCTCGCGGTCTTTCTTCAGGCTAGCACCCAGTTTTGCCCTGAGATTTTTATGAGTATCATTGTATTCGCTTCCAGCAGGAATATGTCGGCGAGCATCCATAAGTTCCAGAGACTGTGTAGAGACCCAATGTAAAGTTTGTAAATTTGATTTCTCACATAAAAACATGTCTGTGATAGTAACGTTTGGCGAATATGCACCCAGTGATCTTCGACGGTGTCCAGTGGACGCTTATTCAGCCCGGATGTCAGCGCAATTTTATACACATTCAGAACACATGGCTTTGCCATCTGGCTGGTGTCAATCCGTTCACATCGACATTGCGGAAGTCCACTGAAACGTACACGGAGATCGGCGCAAACAAGTGCGTGGTCAGAGTACACGCGACAGTTTTGGACACAGCCTCTCCACCGGTAACTGATCGCGATATGATGGACTGGCGTCCACGGCTGGTGCGAGGCTGATTGGCGCCAAAGTCACGCTTCTGCGGGTGCTGTGTCGAGTTTGTGCCCGCAAGAAAGAGACGAGCATCTTCAGTAGTAGCAATCGCTCACCGTTATCATTATGGGAGCCTACAACATGTTGGCCGCCTAGATGAAGTTCATCAGACTACAATTTTCTGAATTAAGCGTTTAGATCGCCAGTCAACACAGCATTATACGTGCTTCCACTTTAACGAAAGAGATGGTTAAGTTGCTGGTAAAAGTCATCTTTCACCGAATCAGTGCTACCAGTTTGTAGGAGGCGTACGCCACAATGACAAACAGCCACAGATTCTTCCCGCGCGACTTCGTAGCATGGAATGAACCAGCTAATCTAACGGCGCACATCCGACTGTTGACTGAGATTCAATCGATCAGGGTAGTTTCAGCATCGGGACTCAAAACAATACCGACGTCAGCTTGACCAGCATCTGAAGCTACATCATCGCCAGAAAGGCGCAATGAGAATGTACGGCCAGTGTTGCATGTGGGGGATTGCAGGGTAAGCATGGAGTTCGAATTTTGCAGGCGAGTTTCCGATAAACAGCAAATATCGATCGATAGGGTTTTGATTGTTCGGGCAAGTGCTGCCTGTTGGCCAATCTGTAGTAAATTAAAGTGGGCACGTTCAAGCATGCCAGTCTTAGCGAGACTCGAGGACTCCAAAGGGAAACGGATGAGTTGACGTTGCAAGCTTGGTTGAACATGGACCTGTCGACTGGATTGGAGCGACGCCCTGCGACTGTGTTTGAGTTGAAACTAGAAGACAAGCGACCATTGAAGCAAGGTGGGGGAGAGCCAAGGATTGGGGGGTTGGAAACGGGGGATAAAAGTAATGTTGGAGCGGGAAGCTAAGTGCGAAAAAGCGCAAGAATGGGGATAAGAAGACGGGAAGACCTGAGCAGTAGCATTCAAACCCCTATCCACTCTCCTCGATGCAGCAGATAGGGCGCCATTGATTATCTTCTGCGACGGCCAGAGCAACAAGAAATTTTTTGCAGAAAGGTTAATTGTATTGCGTGGGCAGGATACTATCAGGTTGCCCAGGCCTAGGGAAGGAGAACGATTAGGGTGCTCAACCAAAACCTTACCGCAGGGCAGCGGGGTTTTGACACTGGACTACAGACAGAAGCCACCATCACTGCAACCTGGAGGACCAGGAGACTGAGTTTGCCTGACCTCTAACCATTGACGAATCTAATGAGTGGCCCTGAAGGTGCGAAAATGCACCACGCAGCATAGCTCAATGGATCACTGAGGCGCACAAACCATCGTACCCCGTTAAGGTCGTCCCGTCACGATGGTCGGCAGTGTAAACCGTGAGCACCTTTTGACTGACCTGCACGATGCCGGAATTCAAGTTTCTACTGTCCATCTTTTGAGAAACTACTTCACTGGACGTGTCCAATTTACTCGACTTGGAGAGAGGATTTAGATACCGCTCACCACAGACACTGGCGTTCTTCAAGGGGCTATATTATATTCCACCTACATCGCCCCTTTACCTGCCGCTGCCTATTCGGTATTATTGAAATATGCAGAGGACATAGTCTTGGTTATGCATCAACCGATCGCAGCCTGAACAACCAAATTACAAGCCTATCTGGACAGCCTTGTAATATGATACAGAATTCACTTGTTATCGCTGAATGCATCAAAATGCAATAACGTCATTTCCCCCCCCCCAACATAAAGATCACCGTTATCAGCAACTTCCCGTGCAATACCCCGAGCTTCACATAGATGGCGAAAATCTGCACTCCAAAATGCCCGTCGTGATCTTTCCTGGTCACTCCATGTTAATGAGATTTTTACAAAGGTGAGGAGGCCAATGTACTACGCCCTTTGTTTCCGATCTTCTGACCTCGCCACTTAATTCCGAGATTTATCACCACATGTGTCTTACCAGTTTGTGCTTACTGCTACTGTGATATCTACTGGTTTCCTAAGGAAGCACTTCAATCCTAAGCAGGTCACTGAAGCAATCATCTCGGTGTAGTGGAATTCCCAAGCCGACGTTTGCTGCGATTGTATTATCCACTCACACCAATTTATGTAGAAGGCTTGTTTCGAGAATACTTACTGATACAAGTCACCCGCTGCATGGTGCAATGCATGAGTGTGTATCAACATCCTCAACCAGACAAAAGCATAGATCCATTTTTACCCGCACAAAGGCTTATCAATCATCTGTTATTCCATATCTGGTAGGTTTTTTTGGGCTACCAGACATCAGTAGTCTTGGAACTTAAAAACAACTTTGCATCATAACCATACTGCCGATGATGCTATTTATTACTCTATTTGTGCATTTACTGCTTTAATTTTTTTAATATACTGAAAGCGTGTGATAACAGCTGAATATTCAACCTTTTGGGTGCATAAAGTACTTTATTAAATTGAAGTGAGTGTTGCTGTGGTGCGCCGTAAGGTTTCTGGCAGGAAGTCTGGTGAATCACTCGAGTGTCTGCTGTATCTTCATCGCGTACATTGGTCAGGTCGTTCTCCAAATGCTAGCCAACTAGCTTCTTCCACCTGAATAATATGGATTCATTGTACCAAGTTGGTAGAAAACATAAGGTGTCTAGTCCAAGACGTGACACAAAAAAGTGAATGAGTGATTTCGTCAGGATGGTGCTTGTCGTCTTCGTGGATTAAGGCCCCGGTGGTTGGAGAAACTACCAGACATGGTGCTCCTGAATTAGGCTTCTGGCATCGAGCCATTAAACTTCATTCCATGCCGATTAGATGTACCGACATCTTTCTTAATTTCATCTGCTTTGCATTCTGTTCGCGTTCAAGCACATTTCTTTACCGTTGATATTTATTGCTATTCTGGCGAAAACAGTAGTCACTACCGGGTTCACCGCACTTCGACGTCCGGATCATAGTTATGCAATCGAACGGAACTGAACTACATTGATGCTGGAAGGATACTGAAGGGTGTACTATCGAGGACGCTTAGTTGTCTGCATACCGAGCACATGGTACTTCTACAAGAGTATATTCAGTTGGCGGTGCGCTTCCGTGGACGTTTTACTAAGGGAGTGCAGGACTGGACTCAAAAAACGTTAAATGACAACACGTTAATATGCAGTTGCTCTTGTCTCTTATCTTTTACACGAAACTATAAAGACATAACTCGCGTCACCTGCACAACTTTGTTGGTATACGTTCGCGTGAACAGAAAACTGGGAGCAGTATTTCGCCTTCATGTTTCAACAACAATACATGCGGATCTCTACTGAGCTGGTAATATGTGAGGAATGAGGTAACGGTGGCGCGTATCTTGCCTCCCGTGCTGATCATCATTGTGAAGTTGCATACTGCATTCCGAAGTGGATGCGATCAATGCCAATTCATGCTGTTCAGCTAAACAGCTGATGCAAGATCAGTAGCTAAGTATACACAGCAATTGTTACACTGGGTACGAGTGATGGTTCCCCGATTGCAACTGAAACTAGGTGATTCAGTACAACAACTAGAAGCGGTTATATAGGCATATGGAAATTGTCCAAGCTCGTTGTAGCCCAAACAATATAGGTCACAGAGGTGCAGTGAAAACATAAACGTTGCCTATCTATTGAAATCCCCATTCAGTTTCCGTAGCTGAGAATAGTTACAAAAGGTGCACCGAATTTGTCTGATCCCGTTAACATACAGACGTTCGTCTTGGACAAGGAACGTTTCAATTATCTTCTAATGATGTCCGTGAGCTGTCTTGTATCAAAAATGGTATACCAGTTATAAGAAGAGTGGTTACCTAAACAACAGCGTAAAAATCTGCGGTTGGGAGACACAGTTAACGGAAACGTCTGCAATGACCAATCAGTTGCACGCAGCAGAGAAGACCGGTGGGCCTTGTCTGAAAAGCGATCTTAATGGAAACCGATATTGTGGTGACATGAAGGTAGTACGGATAAAAACATTTAGAGGAATATGTGGAAATAAAATGGTGCAGGGCAACAATAGTCGCTTGTCTTTGCTTGCTGAACGCAGTAGATAAGGCGATTCTTGTGGAACTACGATGGAGCTGGGTTTAGATTATGCGGTGGTAAAGTGCAGTGGTAAACCACCTAGGAGAGATAACAGGAATACACGTAGGGATAAATAAAAGCGGAAAAGTTGTTTGACTGCAGGAAAAGTGAAACGACACAAGAGATCATAACGTATATATTTTCGAAGCAACAGTCAATATAAGAAGTCACAAGGTAAGATTTGTCCTGCTATATGAACGCACGCTCCCCATGAACACTGTGAGGTGTGCCCGATATGAAAGACAGATCAATGGCGTGTGCGGAGGTCCCCACTTCCGGAAATGCATGTGTATGCTAAGGCATTATAGCCCAGAGTTCTCAAGTTGCTCCAAAATCGGACATCCATTTCTCATATTTTTCAACATCGGTAGATGAGACTGATTTGCAGACTCGACTAATCGCCTCTTCGAAATCTGCCATCGTTGTGGGCTGATTCAAAGTGGCAGTGTTTAAATTCTTGATCTCTTCGACGGAGAGACCTTCAATGACACGTCGCATCGACATCATAGACGCATCCCTGAAAGGAGAGAAAAGTTACGGAAATTCGTAACAACTAAGTTATGAAAAACAAATCAGGTATGGTGTTATGCAGTAAGCTTATTGACTCCAACCACAAGCTATTTCGTCCAACAAATATTTTCCCTCATGTTAGTCCTATTTTTTTTAATTTTCAGATCTTATCACCAGGACAAGGAGACAGAATGCAACCAGGATCCAAAAGTCGGGGGCACTTGTGTCGATCCAAACCGACTGAAGAAGCAAATAGGGATAGAAAACTGTGCCATGCTTCCCAATGTCAATACCGTGCTCCAAGATTGATTCCATCCAGAGGATGAACACTCGCAGATTTCAAAAAAAGCGTTGAAAACTTTGTCATGACAATCGTCGCGCAGTGATGCATCGGTAACACTACGTCAGGAAAAAGTCCCTGATTTGATTCAAAGAAAGGTTATCTTTACCGGAAGAGCTTAAACAAGGACGAAATAAGCCACGGAGCACAGCGCCGGGTGAAAAACAATGCAAAAAATAACTGATTTCTGAGCAGCGAAATGACAGAGATGCAACTTATCGTATAGTATAAAATATAAGCTCACCATGGATAGTATAACTTTGCAATAACAAATTTGTCCAAATTTTTAAGTTCATATATTAGACGATGACTCCCCCCCCCCCAAGAAAAATCAGCACAAAGAGGAACGAAATTAATTCTCCACGATTTTGACGTCATCACTAGCTGCTCTCATTTGTGTGTTTAAGCGAAACCTCTACTAATGATCAGTTGTGGTGAGGGTAATGTATAAGCGCTTATGGTTCGCTACCAAAAATAGCCATAACGCTACGTCTCACGATCCATTAAACCGTCCTTCACTGGCGGATGGTGCTAAGCTGAGATAGGGGAAGAGATCTGCAGTTACTTCCTGGGTGGATTTTGCATGTCGCTTTTCAAATTGCACACAACCATTTTGTAAGCCAACCCCCCTCCACAGAAATGAAAAATTGTCCAAACAGTATCCGTATATATTTGGTAATATATGGTAAACAAAGCAACAATTATAGTCCGGAGTGTGATAAAATGCAAAACAAGGTGTGGTGCTCTAATGAATCTAAGGAATGCGGAATGGCTTCAAGTTGATGCCGGAGAAAACCGTAGCGAATGTCACATAAGTACCGAAGATTATAAAGAAAAAACAATTCCCAAATGAAGACCGATACATGAAGCTAAAAGTCATTTGGGCGAGCGGCGGAACGAGCGGGAAAGATTGAGGGCATATGGTGCACAAACAAATAGAAAATGAGCCCTTAAATTATGCAGGTTTGTGATGGAATGAAACGTTCTCTAACAATTCGGTCATAGTAACAGCAACTGCTAAACCACCTGAAGTTAGCAGTACATTTCGAAAGACAGCGAATAGACTGGAAATTAACATCACTATAAGAATAAAGTCAAATGTGGAATATTGTCCAAAACCGCGATGACTGTATGTGTTCATACGACATGATGAAGCGGCAATAGAAAACTAGGACTTAGGTTATCGTTCGGTGAAATAATGGGATATATGGCCCAGATGTGTCATGTGTAAACAAGTTCTGAATTAGTATGTTATGCAAAACAGTGCTCCGAAACTCTTCCAATATTGCTTGCTCAGTCTGCAGCACAAACAGCGTTTAGTCACCGGTCCTAACACGGCATCCCACAATCGGTATCGCGCATGTTTTCATCTTTAAGTTAAAGATGGCAAGAGAGCAAGAGCTATCCATATGAGCTGACGAAACTGGGCATGCGATCAGACTCCGAAAAAGATGAACAGGCTGATGCAGCCTCTAGCATCTATCGTCAAAATAGGCTTATGTACGTCACTAAAACAAATGGGAAACCTGATGTGGGCATCGGTGCAATCTGCACCGCGTTGTAAACGTGACAAAACACGAGTTATTCATGTATGAATTACTTCCTTGGAGTAGTAGTCGGTACATAAAGTTAGGCAGGGCCACGCAGTATTGCAGTGACGTCAGCGATTCTGTCAGTTAAAGCCAGAAGTGATCATCAGCAGAGTGAAGGAAGTAGAAATACTAACAATTCGAAAGTTCAGCGCATCTTTGTGACGCAGAAGACTCAGCTTCGGTTGGTCAACGGATCAGATGGATAGAACCAATAAAAGTAGACCCCAGAAACTGCGCAAGGAGGCCGGTGAGTACATTCACTTGATAAAACTTAAGCAATGTTGGAGTAGGAGCAAATAGAACCCGACGTCCGGAATACCCAAAGCTAGATGAGGCCACGGAACTATATTCGAAGTTTGCAAGTGAGCAAGAAAAAGGAACAAACAGCGTGTTTCGAGCTAACTGTAAAACTGATTGCGTGTGAAGATGTACCTATTCCCTGTGTCTCTCACAAACCCATAAGACTGCTTGTTTTGTAGAACAGAACATCGTTCTTATCGCCTGAAAACATGCATCACCCATATAACTTTCAATTCACTTATAATCCCATAGGCTGCAACTGTTGTCTGACGTTTGTACTATTGCCAATTATCTTCTTCCCTCGCGATAATTGTGTCCGGTTTTGCCCGCACTTCGCTAACACACCCTACTTAACCAGCATTGCATACTATGACATATAACGGAACACCAGTCTGGAGGCGCTAAGAACCCATCTTACAGAAACATCTTACGAACATTACAGGGAATAGCCCAATGCCATTCACTAGAGCTTATGGGAGCAAAAATACAGGATAATTTGCAACTGACCGGCAAACGTTTGTGACATCTGAGCCGGAATAGCCTTCCAAACTCTCGGCCACTTTGTCCAAATCTACATCCTCCGCAAGCGGTACTTCTTTCAGGCTGATATCCAACAAAAGTCGACGTCCAGTGACTAAAAAAGATTGGGAAGAAAAAAGGATAGTGAGGGCTTGTGATATCTGCAAAGCACAATCTTGCCGAAGATGGGGGGCGCTGATCGAGAGAAGAGTTTTGCATTAGGGATCAACGGAATTTACTGCAATGAACCCCACATGAAGATTATGGTTGAGTTGTAGAGTAGCTACCGTGGATTTCCACAAACAATTTCGGTGTGGATCAGGATTTTCTGTGAAACTAACTGTTCCGGTTTGAGGTACGCCTGATAAGATTGTCATTGGCACGGTTGGAGTACGCCTACGGTAACGGCTTGGAACGCTGGCCAATGGAACGGATTTGCGCTGACCTGATGGCGTTCGGTTAGCCCGGGGTATGCGCTGGTGACACGAAAATTGAGCGAGCGTGAAAACGATCCTAGCCACACGTATTCGGGTAGACGCTGAGCCCTCGGAATGGATGCACTCCCGAGGGGGTTAAGGTATACGTGCGCTGGTGGCTTAGACGCGAACGCTGCCCGGCTATCGACGCACAATTAATCACGTGACCGGCCGATTCCCAAGCAATGCGAAAATGAAGCAAGACAGGTGGTCTTCTGAAGGTTCTTTTACGACCAACAAAGGGCCAATCACAGCCAATGCAATGGGTCATTAAGTTAGGGAAAATTGCTACCACGACGGGGTGGTAGATTGTAAAAGAACATTGTCAACGTGTGCGCAGTTGTGCCGCGTCTCGGAGTGGCTGAACTCTGCTACGTTGTGGGGAGGAATTGGACCCCGCTTTCTACAGCCATTACGCCGGAGTTTGTGGCGCGTTTTTGCGGGGATATTTGACGGGCCCGCAACACAAACCTCGGTCATTCAGATCACAGTGGATGTTGTTCCAATGAGTAAAGCGCTCAAGCTAGGATTAGAAGTAAACCGTCATCTTAAGTAAGCTTGCGCGTTGCAATTCAAGTGTTGCTAACGGAGCTTAAGGGCTTAGTAATCAGGGCGCGGTCATCAACGATTACGTCCCGGTCTTCACTCCAAGTGCCGTCCATCGGCATCTGAGGAGTCAAGAGTAAGATAGACTGATTAAAACAAAAACTGGGGAGAATGAGATTAAACAGAGGCACGGCAAAATCGAAGAGAATTGGGATAAAGATAGCAGATAAATCGATTTAGCGCGACGAGAAGTCGGACGTAATCCATGCACGCCGTAGGATACCGACCCAACAGGTATATCACCTGCAGCCGGTATCAAAACTGACGCCGAGGAGTCGCAAGGATCTTAATGTGTAAAGAAGATCCCAAGAGGCTTAACATCGCAATCACTTCGCGTATTTCTCCTGTCGACCTGCTCACACCACTCATTCTCGTTTACAGTCCACAACGTCCAATGTTTACGTGACACTCATGGGTAACTGCTTAAATCAATATCCCGATAAACCGGTTAAGCCAGTATCAGTAGGAAGTGAAATGGGCACAATAACGGCACAATAGCTGAGGTGTTTCCAACCTCTAGGAAATGGAAGCTAAAGAAATGCCACAAAATACTCTATCCTCTTCATGTAACAATGTTATAAGAGAATACTGGGGGATTTGAATGGTACGATTTGAAAGTAATCATGTCTAGGTGCAGTAAGAAAGTACTAAACGACCGTTCCGCTATTTAGGAATCGTCAGCAGTGTGTCGACTGGCCCACCGAACAACCTCCTCGTGATGCCAGCTAGGTGGTCCGGGATTATCTCGGTCTAGCGAATGGTTCAGCGCCAGTGTTCCAGGACGTTGTGGGTTTTCGCCTGTCAAGCGTTCTCACTATAAAAGCCACGTGTCCGTTTAACAACACTGTGACGTGACGGATGTGAGTCGGCACAAAATAAAGTCAATGCCCATTGTTTCATCTTGGTGAAGAATTGTATCCCAGTACCTTGCTGCTGAAATCGTGGGGATGATTGGGCCGCTGTTTGCCTACTCACCAAACAAAAGACGTATAAACTGAGCAATCACTCATCGGCTCCCAACGGGTGCGAATCCCTGACTTCCCTCCGCTGCCTTGCGGGTAGGCTACTGAGCCAAAGCCTCGGGGTGGAGTCGCCTAAGACAACTCCCTACTTCGGCTTGAGCAACCGCGTAGTGTCGTGCCCCTGTGAAAACCATGGATTTCGCAATCACTACTGAGTCGCTTACTTCTGCCACTACTTTCCCTGCTACTCTTGCTTCTCCATCACATGCCAACTTTACTCTTGTTGATAATCCACAACCCGTTGAATCTACTTCCAATGTTCGTCTCGCTGAAATCCAAATCACATCTCCTTCGACCCCGTACTTCATTCCGTCTTGCAGCGTTCAATGTTCGGACCCTCCTACAGACTGGACACCAAGCTGGCTTGGCGCGCACTCTAGAGTCCTTCGCAATCGACGTTTGTTGCCTTTCAGAGACTTGATTGCAGGATCCCAACACCGTGGTTAAGTTAACGTCCCCAGTTGCTCTTGAAACCACATATTACCTACGTCTGTCTAGTGACATGGAGGCAGCAGCTGGTGTCGGTTTCGCATTGAAAGACAAAGCGGAGGCTGCATTACTCGACTGGTTTCCAATCGACAGCCGGCTTTGTGCGGTTTGGCTTCAAGGCTCATGTAGAATCAACAGACATCGTGAAGGCACAATTAGTTTGTCGTTTCTGCCTACGCCCCAACCGACTGCAGCTGTGCATCGGTTAAGGATGACTTTTATCGTGGACTCCACAAACTTTTGAACACGGCAGCAAAGTCAGACGTCATCGTCCAGCCACGCGCTTGATGAGAGCCGTTCTGACAACAGTGATGGACTTCTCATGTTATGCGAAGAGCACCGTCTTTCTCTCAAGCACTAGCTTTAGGCAAACCAGAAAACGTGCAGCCGCCTGGCGTCCTCCCTCATCAACGCAAGCGTGGTCATAAATAGATCACATTGCAAGCAGCTTTAGATGGCGAGGCAGCGTCCGGAATTGTAGACCGATTGGGTCTACGTACCTCGATTCAGATCATGCTTTGGTCTGCGGGGACATCCGCATGCGCTTCGGCGGCTGCTCAAAACGAAAGCTCCATACGCTCGATACCAAGAGGCTAGCTGACCTCTTTACTCGATCAACTTATCAAGCTTCCTTATCGCATGCATTCACTAGTGATCCACCTCGAGACATTGAAAATCATTGGTTTCCTGCGTGAAGCGATGCTAACTTCCAGTCATTCAGTCTGCAGAATCACAAGGTGCCCTCTGAGGGGCCGGATTTCCGCACACTCACTGAAATTGTTTGATCGTCGTAGAGCTACCCCGACCGATTCAAATAGCAATGCATTGTGTCGAATTCTCAGCCAACAACTTAAGCAAAGAATGCGTGCTGATCGGGAAACTTGGTGGTCCCAGCGCGTCCCAGAGATAGAAACGGCAGCTCACACTGGAAACTTTCGCAAGCTCTTCCAGGTCATTCGTGCCACTGGTCACAAAAGACCTGGTGTTAGTGAGGTCATTTGCGAGGTTGACATAACGATGATAAACATGGACCGCTGGGCTGAGCATTTCCGCACTCAATCTAGCTGGCCCCCTCCGCCGGCGAGCCAATTGAGTAGACCTAGTTGCGCGCCTTGGAACGTTTCATTGGAGCCACTCATTGAAACTGAGGTCTGCTTTGAGCTCCGACAATTCAGGCGATTCAAGTCTGCTGGACCAGACGGACTTCCTTCAGAGCTGCTGAAGTTCGGAGGCGAAGCACTTATCAAGCAGCTAACAGCTCTGTTTTCTAAGCTCTGGTGTGAAGAAACAATTCCATCCGCTTGGGGCGAGTCAATTATCGTCCCGATCTTCAAGAAAGGTGCCCGTACCCTATGCGCTAACCACCGAGGAACCAGTCTAATGTCCATGGCCTCCAAACTGTTAACAACTACTCTACTTCGCAGACTAACCCCGAGTCGAGAATTGCGCCCCAGTGAAGAACAGGCCGGTTTCCGCCCCGGTCGAGGGTGTGTAGACCCCTTGTTTACGCTCATCCAACTGCTTGAAACGCATCATCTTTATCGCCAGCCCACTATCGTGGTTTTTCTGGACCTCCGAGCCGCTTTCTACTCTGTCGATCGGCCAGCTTTATGGCATTGATTACAAAGGAATGGAGTACTCGAGAAGTATATCGTCATCCTTCGAGCATTATATTGCTTATGGTAAGCTCTCTTCATTTTTTGCCATCTTAGCGGTGTACGACAGGATTGCCCCATGTCCCCGTTTCTCTTCAATTGTATGATCGAGGATGCCCTTTTAAACGCTCCCAAGGGATTTCAGGGTTCTGGTATATAGCTTCTTCCTGGCAACCGCGCGACCGATTTAGATTATGCTGATGATATTGCCATTTTTGGTGATGACGCATAGAGCATACAAGCCGTTCTAAACCACTTGGCGGTTGAAGCATCCAAATATGCAATGACCTTTAACCCCTACGAAATGCAAAGTCCTGATCCTGGATTGGCATCCACCTGCTCCAATGCATACAGTTCAAAGTACGCAGCTTGAACAAGTGGATAACATTGCTTACCTGGGAAGCTGTCTCTGCTGATGGTAGCATTGGAAAAAAGATTTCCCTGCGCAATGCCAAAGCGCGTTCGGCATTCGTCAACTTGTGGCATCTGTGGCGACGCTGTGACGTTTCACTATTGGTAAAGAGCAGGGTATGCAATGAATGTGTTCGTGCGGTGCTGCTGTATGGAAGTGAGTCCTTGCCGATTCGTGTGAATGAGTTGCATCGGATTCCGGCCTTTGGTAATGGATGTCTGCGGAGAATAGCTCCAGTGTGATGGATGAACCACGTGCGCGACGAGGATGTTAGACGTCGCGTCTTGGGTAACACGGGACTTACAGTTGACAGACTGGTATTGCTGCGCCAATTAAGATGGCTGGGCCACGTTTTACGCATGCCATGCGAACGGCTGCCCCATCGCGCACCCTTCGTTCGCACAGGACCAGGCTGGAAGAAATCGCGCGGTGCTCAGCCTATCATGTGGCGACAAACGATTAAAACGCTGACTTCCAGTTTAGCTGTCGTAAGTCCCGCGCATCGTTTGGACTGAGGGATCAAAGATGAAGAACACCGATGGCCGGAAACCATTTCGGAGACAGCGCAGAACCGAGCCCAATGGAAAATGGGTACAAACGTTGGTTCGAAGATTTGTCTTGATTTGTTTCATTTAAAGCGCAAACAATAAACCGACAAAAAAAATAAAACGGCGTATAAAAACAAAAACAGGTTTCAAAAACAAAGCAAAAACGGACATATTATGGTGTTGATCATCCCAACATTGGCACCCCAAACAAACAAACGTTTTTTGTAACTTTATTCCTTTCTTGGGGTCTCTGTATTCAGTACTTCCGTTTCATGGTTTTCGCTGGCTCTGTGTCTATATGATAGACCGCTGATTATATATATATATATATATATATATATATATATATATATATATATATATATATATATATATATATATATAGCACCGTGCCCACCTGATCTGTGAATAGAACCACTGGGCAAAGAGGGACGGAAACGGTCGACATCATTAAGTTACGGCACAATAGCTGAGGTGTTTTCCACCTGTAGCTAACGTGTACAATGGTGAATGATGAAGATTAAGTTAACAGATGTGAGACAAAGCGGCGCGCGCTCCGCTGACTCGCAGGTTAGTGCAGCGCAGAGGACCGGGTGGGTCCCCCTGATTTGAAGAGATCAGTTCGCATGGAACCAAACCGAAGCTAAAATTAATTATAGTTCCAATCTATACATACTACGGGAACTCCCAGCCACAGGAATGCGTTGTAATGACCTGGAGATTGTCCTGTTTGTCTGTGTAAAACATTATTAAAATATAATATCATTCTGTACATAGAGAACTTAGGAAGCTTGCCTGTTCGCACGATGACTACGTGTATTTGAGTCATCCAGACGAAACGCATTCGCACGCTTCTGGCTTTTCCGCCTCGAAGGGCGTTTGCTGCATCTCGGCTGGCGACTATACCTTTCCCCTAGCTAGAACCTTTTTGCGGTGCCTTAAGCTAGTGGGATTGTGCGTTTCGACAATAAACCTCTATCTTACCCATATTTCGTCTTTTTCCGACTTTTCCTTGAGGCGGGACGGACCTGATATATAGCGACCGAACGATTCCGCTATAGCGTTATAGTAAACGGTTAAAGCCTCAGTGTATTCTACTGACATATTTGATAGGCGATACTCCCAATAGTGCCTTGATTTCGCACACAGTCGTTTCACTACCTTACCCGACTGAAGCTTCTCTGAAACGAGTGCACTGTGTGTGTTTCTTCTGAACACACATGCTAACTGACTGACGAATAACAAATGTCAGCCGATTGGCTGGCTCGAGTGTTCACAGATGCATGGCTGTTGGGAATTGCTTATAGAAAGTGCAATTTACTCACACAACTTCACATACCTCATTGTTCCACGGCTTTTACTTTTGGCTCATGTTATTCGGCATTCCGTAAGTGTTTCATGAACTTCTACTCTATCAACGGCTTCTCATAGATGCACAGACTACTCAAAGCAGTACATGCAGTTCGGTCTCCGTAACATTTAATGCAAGGAGGTGAAGGCATCATCAGTACACCGTAACGATGCTTCGCTGCCAAGTAACCGTTCATTGTCGCGCGTGGGCTAAGGATATTGCAACGGTCGTCCGGTCCCATATGCAGCCTGGAAATAGTGACTTCCGGTTTGCAAGGCACAGGCCTCGTCTTTTCGGTCACCGGTCGGTACAGTCTTCTTCGACATGTATTTGCTTAGTTGTCTATGGTAACTTGAGTCGGAATAAACAGTACACCTTTAGCGCTACTGCATTGTGCGCCTAAAAGAACATGTTCCACGTGAACCCGGACGGTAACGACGATCTCTTCATCACTTCCATCATGTCCACTATGTTATCGCCCATTTTCAGCACAGCAAAAATATTTTTTATCGCTCCATAAGACGCAAACTGTAACCAGAACATCAAATTTGTGGTGAAAAACAATATGCAGTTTCATTCTGTATATAACGTTGCAGTAAGACAAGAAGACGAGAATGACGTATACCTAGTTAATGGACACACAAGTAACCGCAAGGTGTTAGTTAATTCACGAAAAGTATGCGTACGCGTTGGCTGAAAAAGATTTTTAGGAGCCTTATTTTGATCAACAGTTAGGCAAGAACCATGTGACATGTAATTTTATATATCAACGACTGTATACCGTCAAGCCTCATGCTGAGGTTCATGTTGCATACATCATGATCCTCCACCACAACTGGGCTACATTGACTGATATTTAAACTAGATCTTTCTAACCTGGACAAAAATTTTTGTACTTTATTTCATCTGCTCAGTTCTGTTATTTTGTTGCATATGCCGTGTCAATTTTGTGCGTTTGTTTTCTATCAAATTCCATGTTAGTTGTCTGATCACCCCGGTGTGGCTGCGCTTGATGTGAATTTTGACAAGGTGCCTACCTGTCTAGCGTCCTCCATCTCGATTACTGGATCTAGGAGATTGCTAATGGTTGCTGGGGAGGGGACGAGATGCATCATCCTTGTGGTTGTGCTAAACTCAAAGAGTGGTTCGATCCAGTGTGAAGCGGACTACGGCCAAGCCACCGCCATATGTACGTCTGGTAAGCACGATATCCATATCAGATAGACAAGAATACTGTTGCTGTACATGTCAAAGGAGTGTGGGCCAGCCCCGTCTATAAAACGAGTGTGGTAGAAGCCACTACTGAGTGTGCGTCTGTGTGGCCTTGGCAACAAGCAACTCGCGACAGAACACTGGCTTGTTCTGAAGAACACGGCAACGGGAAGTACGCTGAGTCCTACCGCATTACGGAGCCTACCGAAATTGTTGCAGAAGTCAAAAACAGACAGTTTCATCCACAAGGTGGAACCCAAGAGGCCAATGTTCTGTCGTTTTCAAACAGGGTAAAAATGGCAATTCTATGACCTAATACAGTGCCTGCTACTGAAATCATGCAAGTAGTTGATTGGCCCAGTGAAATATGATTCGACGGTAGTACCGAACCATCAAAATGAGGCTTACCACTGGGGAGGGGAATGTAAATACGCTTCTCCAGCCGCCTTCGCAACGCTTCGTCAATGTCCCATGGGAAATTTGTAGCGGCCAAAACCATAACAGTTTTCGTCGGATCCTCTTGTTGCCCAGTCGCCCCGGTCACACCTAGAACAGAGATTGAGAAAGGGAGATGATGAAAGTCGCGTCACATTAGAAATCTGTCACAAGACAGGAAAAATGGAAAGAACAGACATAAGGAAGAAAGACCGAAGGAATGACACGGTGAGTTCGTGTAGTAACGCTGCTCCACTCGGACGTCGAGGAAAGAACGAAGAAAATCCATTGATTAATCTCACTGTCCTAACAACTACCAATAGCACACATGTATGACGACGATACTTAGTCCCGAAAGGGTCCACTTTTATAGCACAAACAACGTATTGTGCGAAAAGTTGTACACCTGGTTGGCATGAACTTTCACTGAGGATGAGAAATAATCGAGGAACCTGGCGATATTCCTCCTTCGGTAGCGGAAAATCGACTTGCACCACACAGTCAAAAAGTGATCGTGATGCACTGTGGTCGCATAACGAGAAGTTGTTGAACGCCACACATTGCGTGGTGCGGAACCTAGGGGATTGGAAACAATAATAGACAAGACACAATCGCACAGACCGACAGTGCTCTTGTGAATTGTTCGTAACTCTATCCGATGACTGTATTGCCGTTTCAAGCTACTTTCCGAACTCAGCTTAGAGTATCGAAGTGCGGTGGAGCCATCTGCCATGACTGCGTTCCCATGGAAAGACAATAACCACTGCTTCTAGATGAATGAAGGTCAATGCATCCATTCTAATTTGGCGCGCGGTTCAAGGTTTAACTATTGAAATAAACTGAATTACCCCAGGAACCACATCAAGTGGACAAAGGTGAATAGCACAAAAGTGATGAAAATGCGTCGAAGCAAAGAGTACATAGTGTAGTGTTGACAGATCCGACGGAGTGCAATGAGTTAATATTTATTAAAAAGTACCAGTAAATAGTGCCAAAAGGACATCAATAGCACGGCGGTATGCCATATTAAAACTTCGTCGCCGCGCGACCACTATCAGTAGCAAGAAGGTCAGGGATGTCATGAGGTCGCGCGCACCTGTGCAAGCTCCACCCAGTGGCCTATGGATCACAAACCAGATGTCTGAATACCTCGGTCATCGGCAGGCAACAGGTACGTTCGCAATGGTCTGTCGACACTATGTGAGGATACGGCATTCAATAATCATAGAAGATAGTTAACAATATACCGCAAGTTAGTCAGAGGCGAATCCAAACACGAATATACAGGATACTAATTCAGGAGCACATGGATGCATGCACTTCGTGACAAACAACGCGCGATGCAAATAGAGTGACGGGGTAAAGGCCATAGGTCCGCGACGTATTACGGTTGATAAGTGAATGTCTATAAACATATAGGATTAATTTTATATAGCGTAACGCGAAACGAGGAAAGCAGTGATTAGTGGGACGCAACTCGATACTGAGCACTGGTCCGAGTTCCGTCCGATGACCCGGTGAGCCATGCGAGCACGGAGGGTAGGGAGAAGGTAAGGGGACACCTGAAACTACCAATATTCCTCGAGGTAATACGCTACATAAAAGAGAACCAATATACATGACATAAAAATAACACACTATGCCGTCATTACCATCCATCTGTACCAACAGCTCTGATTTGACGCGTCTCGAAGCTTCATGCTCCGATTCGGCCCCACGTCGCGAACAGATGGAATCAATTTCGTCGATAAAAATGGTACTGGGTGCATAGAATCGCGCCATTTGAAAGAGTAGGCGAACCAGTTTCTCTGATTCGCCACGCCACTTGCTCGTCAGACTGGAGCTGGAGACGTTGAAGAAGGTGGTTCCACACTCGGTAGCCACCGCCTTGGCCAGCAGAGTTTTTCCTGTCCCCGGCGGTCCAACCATCAGAACGCCCTAGAAATGAGGACAAAAGCCGTTGGTAATATTGTAATTGCAGAGAATTTTAAAGCGCAACGGAATCAAAGCGTACATCAAAAAAGAAATACCTGGCCTCAAGACACCGTCTCATATCGCATTTCGGAGCAGATAGTAGCACGTACACTGTTTGGTTCGAGAGAAACACCAGTCAAGCTCAGTGGAACAGGAGTTCCAAGGGCGAAAAGTTTAGAGCATGTCATCAGTGGGGAGAGAAAAAGAAGTGGTATTCGCGAATCCCTAAAGAACAGTGTAAAACACAATGGAACAGCAAAGAAAAACAAGTTGCAAACATCCAAACACCAATAGATGAAACCAAACGCATGATATTCATAAATGTTTTCTGTTACGCGGACACCACGGAGTAAACCTAACTCAATGAAAGTGCGTAAGTTAAGTCTACCACCTCACAAAAAAAAACTAGCACAGGGATAGCAGGGATAAGACGATACAACGATAATCGAGGATTCCGGACACCAGACAAGGAGGTTCACATATACGACAAAGGAGATAAGTACACCAAAACGAATTGTTGATTAGATATATCAACCAAATACAAACACCTTATAGAAACGAAGATACATCTCTTTGAGTTTTCAAGTGGTTTGCCAAAAGCCACTTTAGGAGTAAGAATTCCAGATGGGACGGTAAGTCAGAGAGTGCGTAGGAAAAAATCCCCAGAAAGTAACCCATCCTCTTGGCTACGATGAGTGGTGTTTCTGTAGCCGCTTAAACAGATAAAGTAAGGGATCATGGTGCAGAAAACGTGCACTCATGTGGAGCGGTGACTTGGTTAGCGACGAAACCAATTAAGATGGAGCTAGCACGCGACCAGGAAGCTGAGACGTGGGAACGGTACAGTAGCAATAGTGAGATGCTATCGCAGGGTAGACTGTTCCCATTTCACGAAAGTAAAAAGGACCTTGATTGTTGAGAACAGCTCCACTGACTACCTGAATTCGGATAGCAGAGGGAGTTGATACAAAGCAAGTGAACGGTTCCGTGGAACCGCTCCGGTATAGTCCATAGATTCAAAAGGGTTCCCGTTTCGAATGCGGCAATAATAGAGGGAGCAGTCTGGTCTTAGTTGTCACTAAGATACTCGCCTCTGTCGTTCTTCATAGACCTATTGGCACCCGTGGAAACCAGATTCGTGAGGAACAAGCCGGGTTCCGTCGAGTTGAGGCTGTACTGATCATATCTTCATATTATGGCAATTGTTGGAGCACCGCCATTTTTATCGGCGAGCCACCGTAGTTGTGTTCCTCGATATCGAAGGTGCCTTCCATTCGCTGGATCGATGTGCTCTTTGGGATTGACTATTCAGAAAAGAGGTGCCCGAAAAATATGTAACCGTTATCCGAGCGCTGTACGCGCATAGTTCAGGCAGAGTGACAGCTTACAGCAAGCTATCGTCGCCCTACAATACCTAAATTGATGTGAAACACGGATACTCGCTGTCATCTTTCCTGTTTAACTTCATTACTGACGAAGTCATGGAGAGTGCGTTCATTGGACACGACTAACAAGGCGTAAAGCTGCTCCCAGGAGATCGACTTCATGACTCAGAGGATGCGGACGACACTGCATTCATCTGTGACAGCTCCCAAACGTGACAGCCAGTCAGTCAGGGCTACGCTTTGCATTATTGAAATGCAAAGTACTTCCTCAAGATTGGCAGGGACCCAGCAATGCGTTGACCGTCGATGGTGATCAGCTAGAAGTCGTCGAGAAATTCTAGGTAGCTATATCAGTGTCAGTAGAATGGCAGATGAGATCACGAACCGTATAGCGAAAGCTCGAGGTGCTTTTGCCAATATCCGCCACATGTGGCGCAGACGCGACATCACTCTCGCCCTGAAGGGCATAGTTCACAATGCAGCCGCCCATCCAACCCTACTGTACGCTTCCCAAACCTGGCCCATCAAGTCGACAGACTTAAATACACTCGTTACGTTGGATCATCGCTCCCTTCGCAGCATAGCTCATATCTGGTGGGAGCACCGCGTGAGCAATGAACGTATTCGGCGTCGTGTATTTGGTACAGGGAGAGCGAGTGAACCGCTCAGCACCATTATTTAACGCACAAGGTTCCGATGGCTCGGCCACGTGTTGTGTATGCCAACACGTCGACTCCCGCGGCGTGCGATGTTGGCGTGCCGCGAATGTGGATGGAAGGAGGGGAGGGGAGGTCAAGTGATGATTTGGTCAAGAGGAACGAAGGCCCTCATTTCGTAGTTGGCGTCGGTTGGTGTCGCCCGACTGCTGGGCTGGGGACTGAAGGACGATGAACACGTCCGGTTGGATACGCTCGTTGACATGGCAAGGAGCTGACCTCAATGGCGTGTGTCGTGAGTTTCTTTGTCCCTCCCCATCTGGCTTAGCTTCCCCCTCCAACCACAATCTGTCACGTGGTGTAGTAAAGCACCTGTATTTTGTATTGTATAATGTTGCGTCTTGCTTTTTCGTATATCTTATCCTTATGTATTGCGGCACAATAGTTGAAGTGTGTTTCGCACCTTCAGCTAATGTGTAATGATGATGATGACGATGAATGGTTCCATATAAAAATTGCAGGTGTAACCAACTAAGTAAACTCGTTCTGATACCAGGGGGTAATATGCTTCCGCCTAACCAAGATTATCATAAAAGATGACTAACATTTCGTTGGCCTTCGTCTGGCCCGATAACCTGTCTAATCCCATTTCTAAACGCCATCGGCTTATCAAGTGAATGTTTTGCATTCATTTTCTTATCATACAACCAACACGTCCTGAATGGCCTGCATCGTGTCTACTAGTCGCAAACGCTGCTTGCAACATCGATGTACATTTGCTGAAATATATCCCGTTGGTCACCTTTCGGAAATGTATATGAAAGGTTCCTGAAAACTAGATCCATTCCCGTCTGTTTTGTATACGTGAATCCTATCGCACTGCTACGTCAATCACAAGATATTCCTATTTTAAAGTCCACGTTGTTCTTTAAAATGTTTCGGAATACTGGTAGCTCGGGATATTGATTCAACAGTTCGTTTGTTTGCAAAAGTTTCACCACCATGCGAAGTGGCATCCAAATTCTGAACTTTAGCAACAACCACCCGAAATGCCACGAAGTAAGCTGTGTGTGGACACTATTTCTCAGAGTGCAAACGAACTGCAGTACCACAGAAATAAAGCAACAGGAAGCACCTATTTAAATGTTTCCAACTCAACGGATACCCACGAAGCTTCATCTGAAGGTGTCTGAATCACAACAACGTAACCATACAGCCTACAATAACAACAGCAGCAGCAGCAACAACAACGGAGAGAGGGGTTGTGCTGCCTTATATGAAGAACATATCCGAAATGGTAGCCAGACTATTCAAACAGCATAATCGCATCGTAGCACACAAGACAACCGCTACGTTGGGAAAAATGTCAAAAGCAAAAGGAAAATTGCAGGCGCAAGGAAAACCCAATGTGGTATACAAAATACGTTACGCAGATTGTGAAAAGGACTATGTTAGCCAGACAGGAAGAAAACAAGCAACAAGATTCCAAGAACATAAAAGAGCTTGTGCAAAACATTATGCATTGTCGCTACTCTCATAGCATGCGGATGAAGAAGGACATAGCTTCGACTGGACCAAAACAGGAGTCCTGGCACGAGACAAAACAAGAAGGGGAATTCCTGGAAGCTTGATTCTCAACGAAAAACTCAATGAACATGCGCGTCGACATCGATTCAATATATCAACCACTTCGAAAGAAATAAATAAGGAAGATTTTGTTACGCGGTTTAAGGCAGAACAACTCGGGCGCCGACTTTAATCATGGGGAAAGTGGGTAGAAGTCACGGGATTCAAATTGAGACTGCCACTTACAAAAGTCACCTGCAGGTCGATCACGGATCGACGACACATCCGGTAAGATTGCACACCAGATATCACTGCACAGCGGAGACCAGCTCGTATGGTGCTGAAACGTTTGCAACCAAAACGCAAAGCTCGGAGAACCAATGAACAATTGATTCACGTTTTTCTGCTATGCAATATGAAATGTAATAAAGGCGTAAGAAAAGCACGTAGGTTGTCCTTCCTTCGGTTGGCTGGGCGCGTGACTGAGCAGTTAGACAGTCGCAGTCTCACAGGGCAACAAAGCATCAGCACAACAGTTGTCAGTAGCAGAGAGCAGAGGGAAAGAAAAAGCGTTACAACAAAAAGCATATTCACAATAAACCATTTATTGCATTTCTTATAGCTACCATGTTCGGGACCGCAGTTTGTCCGATGTTATATTTAGTTGATGATCACTAATGAACGATGCGATTTCGGAGAAAACATCCGCTTCATATTCCCCGCAATTAATAAACAAACAATTAACAACAACGATTCGGAATGGAAACTGTACGTAATGATCGGACTAGGTCTACGGGATCGTATCTCATTTTTCAGAGAAATATACATATTAATATTATTGTAACAGTTGTGCCTACACTTGTCAAATCTACGGGGAACTCCAATGTAGAAAGATGGTTCGCGTTAGACAGTTGCGGAACTGCGCAAGTGGGTGGTAATCACTTCGGTGCAGCTGGTTATATCCGTTGACAAATTAGTCTCTCACTGTGATGGTAAAGATCAGGAGGACGATTGCGTCTGAACTGGTGGCTTGGGCTGCACTGCCCACCGCCACATCCACATGCTTGATTAAACATGTAGGTCCGAGGGGAAGACATTAGGCAGCATGCGGTAGTAGTAGCCAACTTAAACTCTGAGAGACACACCGGTTGTAGTAGACGCCTAAAGAGCGGCGAAACATCCAGAAATTTCCCCGCAGTCCGTTCAAAAAGTAGGGATATAAAGGAGCATATTACAACAAGGAATGCATTGTAAGAGTTGCTAAATAGTGATTCGCAGAAAAATGGCAAAGCACTTACCCTCCACGGTCTGCGTATGCCTTTGAAGAAGTTAGGTAGCACCATGGGCAAAACTACGGCTTCCTTGAGAAGACGCTTGGCCTCTTCCAACTCCGCGATATCATCCCACCGCACGTTCGGGTTTCGTTGTAGGATATCGTGTTCAAGCAACTCCACCAAGTCCTTGTCGTAGCCGGTCGAATCAAACTTTCTCTCTTCGGACGCCGGAAAATCACAACCGGCTGGATTCGGAGCAGGTTTACCACGACGATTCGCAGCTGGCGTAAAATGATGAGGTGTCGAGAATTCGGTGAAAATAAGCCTCTCAATCGAGTCGAAAATAAAACCAGCGAGGACGAATAATATGAAAGTAAAATGCTCGAAAATCAAGGGATAGGGAAGATGGCCAAACGGCCGCCAAGTATTAATGGATATTTAAAGCAGTTAGTTCCCTTCCGAAATTTGAAAAGCACGGTAAGAAGACGAAAACTGGTAGATGCATGCATTTCGTATTGTCTCCTCAGTACCATTAACAATAACCGGTATGCAACTATATACTTAAATATGTGTGTGACCGAATAAGCATAAGGTGAAAAATGAATGACGGAAGTTCCACACCTATGTCCACGGCAGTCTTAAGCTGATGGTGGTGGCTGTGCCATATATCTTCGAAATAACCTGACTGCCATTCCTGCAGATCAACCTGTGTTCATTGACTTAGAAGATACACTATGGCTAGTGATCCCATCTATTGATCTTCTAGTGGGTTGTATCTATCGGCCGCCCCGAACTATACAATTTGCAACCCAAAAGCTAATCGATATGATCAATGTTGCTTCCAGCACCACATACAAATCCAAAATAATGTGTGGAGATTTCAACCTACCACATGTTAACTGGACGCTGCCTACACTCAGAAACACGGCAGAGATTGAGGAAATTATCGCATGTATCCACTTCAATGGCTGGACTCAGCATGTTAGAGAGCCAACTAGAAGTGCTACTACCTTAGACCTTGTATTCACGATGGGAATCGCGAACGCTTATACATTCATTGATAATCCACTGCCTGGCTGTGATCACAACACGGTGTTTTGTGATATGACTATTGATTTACCTAAACGACCAAGTAAAATGCTAAACCCATTCGTAACCTCCATCGTGTGGACTGGAACGCATTTAATGAACTTATGAGTACCATGAATTGGAATACGTCATTCCTAACCCACAACCCTACTGTGGCTACAAATGAGTTTATAAACAACATTGCCCTTGTTGTGGAGCTACTAGCACCCACTGTAAGGAGAAATACCCATGAACATAGGGGTGAACTCAAGCTTCTGTCCAAAGCCAAAATAAAGCTAAAGAAACTCAAATCGCTATACAGCAGGAACAACAACTTCGCAACATTGCTACAAATATACGAGAACTTACTATATTTACAACGTCTAACCTTAACGGTCAAAACCAAAGAAGAAAGCCGGGTACTCAGAAATCCTGAGAAAGTACGTGCATTGATGCAACTACTCAAAAGAAGAAACCCTAAACCACTTCAGGAAATTGAAACGTTGGTTCTAGACGATGGTTCAATAACGCGCGACATCTCCTGTATATGCGAGGCCATGAACTCTAGTTTTGCCTCGTCTTTTGTCCCTAACATTCAGCCACTTCATCCTCCACTTCCAAAAAGAACGACCGAACTATACTGCAATATCCCTGTGACGTTAAGAGAGGTGCAAAGTGCCATCGCAGCCATAAAACCATCAACTCATCCAGGTCCAGATGGCATCTCCCCAACTGTTATAAAACTCGGAGGAAAAAACCTCGCACTATTGTTACTAAACATTTTCACACTTTCACTCACTACCGGTTGCTTTCCAGCTCAATGGAAGCAATCCATTATAATGCCTAAGTACAAGGGTGGACCGAGAAATCAAATGTCAAGCTACTGCCCAATAAATCACACTGCTGCTGTTGCCAAAGCCCTAGAGCGAATAGTCAAGAAGAACATCGTCCAATATCTAACAAGACTGGATCTGATCAACCCTTCACAGCACGGTTTTCTCTCAAAACGCTTCTGCGTTACATGCCAGCTACAATTTCTCGATCACATCACGACTATGATTGACAGAGGAATGGCAATTATCATAATTCTGTTGGACATGCAAAAGGCTTTCGACCGCGTGCCACACCAGCCACTGCTGTCTGCTCTAGAGTCATATGGAATTGGAAATCCGCTGCTTAACTGGTTCGACTCATACCTAAACGGTCGAACTCAGGTCGTTAAAATCGGTCAGCAACATTCTACACCGAAACCAATAACCAGCGGTGTCTTCCAGGGAAGTGTGCTCGGACCGCTACTTTTCCTAATCTATGTAAACAATATATGTGACCCAATCAAGCATGGACATCCATTTCTGTTTGCAGATGATGTCAAACTGGTTTACTCATTCCATCCGGACCAACTACATATGTGTTTGAGAAACATCTGTGAAGACCTATCCGCACTAAATATAGCTAGTGAGCGCTTATTAATGAAGTTCTCCGCAGTGAAATCCCAAGTACTTGGGTACAGATGCCGCATACCAGAAGGCTCCATTATACTTGTCGGAAACGTGATCCCAACGTCTGAGTCAGTTCGGGACTTAGGAATTCGGTACTCCAACTCTTTCAATTTCTCCGAACATGTTCTTTATCAGGTTGCGAAAGCGAGGCAGCTATGCGGATATATCACCAGAACTTTCTCCCTACCTGAAGTACGACTTGAATCATTCAAGACAATGGTACGACCGACTCTAAGTATTGTACTATCCTTCACAGCCAATTGAGAAAGAAAGACAGAACGGCTCTAGAAAATGTCCAAAGATCAGTTACCAAACTGCTCATGGGACGCTGCTCAAACCTGACTTATTATGATCGCTGTCGAAAACTCCAGCTGGATCCACTTTGGCTGAGACGCTTAAAGAACAACCTCGTTCTCTTCTACAACATTATAAACCAACGAATTTACGCAGACAGCACCGCACTTGAACTGCGGAAGACTGCAGTCTACCCCACACGTAATGGCGGCTACTTGATACGTACAAACCTTTCAAGTCATAAAATTCGATCGAATTTCTTCTTAGTGAGATACACTTATTTGTGGAACAAACTACCCCTACAGATACGCATGTGTACAAGCCACGTCACCTTTCGAAATCTCCTTCAGACCTTCCTCACTATACCAAATGCTCTGAAGATATTTGACTCACAGCAAACACTAGAAACACTGACAGAAGTTGGTATAAAAAACATTTGATAATAGCTTACAGCTAGCTTACCCACTACATGTCATTACATACCATACCAAATCCTGTGTCTTTGCAGCCTAATAGTCCCTTCGTTTATTATCTACTCCTGACGATACAAACATCCGTAAATTTTACATATGAGCTGCGCGGGTCTAGGACTCAAGGAAAAGTAATCATGATCCGAAATGCTATCAATAAACTTTTATTTAATGTTATGAAACGTGTTCACTATACACATGATCGCTCCCACTTATGGGGCCGTGTACCGTCCGTCGGTAAATATACAAATTTATTTATTTATTAAATAATTGCTTTGAACACACAGGGCCGGCTTCATCCGGCTTATCGCAACCGCCTCGGCGAAACGGAGGAAGCGGGGATTAGGGTGACGTAATACAAGTGTGAACGCTGATCCGAGCTCTATCCGGTGACGCGTAGTCAGTAGGTGTTTACCTATTGAGGAAGCTGGCGGTTTGCGCAAGCACGGAACTTCAGTGGGACAGGGATTCTGGTCAATTTCACGTTGAACCCACCTTGGCAAGTGTTCCTTTATTCGGGAAGTCAAAGACCGATTGGTTCTGCCTATGTAACTGTCTCCGCAGTCGCATACAAATTTGTATATGCAGTGTGAGTTGGCCCCTATCGGTTGAGCTTCCTTCGTGTGATGGTATGACACTACATTTAGATGCCCGTTGCATAGCGATCGGTCGAGCTTAACGATTTTGGGTCAACGGTCTGAAAGCTGGTCAATCGCTGCAGAGGCGAACTGAAGGTTAGCATGCAATCGATTTCTATCGACATTGAACGAAACTCGAACGCTGGCTGAGAATGTAATAGAAAGGAGATTTGTTTTGCGAATGATTCTAATTGACTCGAGATATAAAAGGAGTTTGCGTTCTATGAATAATGAATTTCTGATCGAGGCCCAGACTTTGACTTTTTGATGCACTGAGGGCCACTTTACATGGCGACAGAGGACAAGAAGACACGCCGAACCCCGCATGCGTTTGGTGGACAACCAACGATTCCGCTGCCAGCTCCGTTGCAAATGACCGAGAGTTCGTTGCCGGAGAATTGGAGAATATGGAAGGCGAAGTGGCTAGACTTTGTAACACTGACTCAGTTGGATTCTCAGCCAATGGCCTATCAACTGGCGATGTTCAGGCATGCCATTGGAGACGAAGCCAGGCGGACGCTGCAAACGTTGGATCTCAGCGATGGAACTCAGGAGATGGAGCTGGATGAAGTAATACGCAGATTCGGCGAGTTTTGCGAAGGTTACACAAACGAAACTTACCAAAGGTATCTGTATTTCAGCCGAAATCGCCTGCCGGGTGAATCAATCGACGCATACATCACGGAGCTGAAAATTCTGGCGCGGGATTGCAATTTTTGCACCTGTTTACGAGATTCGCTGATCCGCGATCGAATTATAATTGGCATAAAGAATGAGGAACTTTCCAGACGCCTTTTGCGACAGCGAAACCTGTCTTTGGAACATTGCATCGATATCTGTTTTAGCGAATCAAGGACGGCTCAACAGTTTCAGCAGCTCAAGATGGAGTCCACGACGGATCTGTTTGCAGTATCCCGAGGCCGAGAAATTGTATCGAAGTCATCGAGCGCGAATCAACCCAAATGCCAGTTTTGCGGCCGCTCACACCCAAGGCGCAAAGAGGATTGTCCAGCATGGGGCCGAACCTGTATGAAGTGTGCGAAGAAGAACCACTTTGCACGTTGTTGTCAGGCAACCAAAGTCGACTCAGTCGGGCAGGACGATCAGGAAGAGCCGCAGGAACTGGCTATTAACAACATGACAGGACGTGAGAGACCAGCCTGTGTATTCGCAACGTTGCTTATTCAAGGGCGTCCGGTGCGATTCCAATTGGATTCAGGAGCAAGCGTGAACATACTTCCTCACAAATACTGTCCCGATGCAGAATACCGCCAAATACAGACACAGCTCAGAATGTGGAACGGATCAAAGT